AATAAGTCATTTATAACGCTATAAAAACGGAGCAAAATCTTTACCATAGACTTCCGGTTTTTACAAAGACCCCAACTACTTATTCATTGTTTTTATCCGCTAGTTGTCAGGTGTAGTTTAATAACAATTTTTGGCGGTGTATTTGATATACATATTTGCTATTCTTATTAAATATTAATTAAATATTTATCTAAGACCCAAAAGCATATCTTATCAGACAAAACTTTAATACGTAAGCATTGATTATATAGGTAGTTTCGTTTGGAATAAACTTTTAAAATCTATGAGTAAGTAAAGTAATAAATATTTTAAATTCTATATAAATGAAATCAGATATTAAAAATATATAAACAAAAGAGACCTGAAAAAGTTATCAAAAAAAAAATAATAATAAATTATAAAAATAGTATAATATATTAGAAAATTTATCTGTTCAAATTTAAATGATAAAGAAAAGGGATTATAGTACAAAAGTAAGAAAGTAGGAATAATAGTACAAAAGTAAGAAAGTAGTTTTATCTTTTAAAAATAACAACAAATAATAAATTATGGAAAAATAATCTTACATATTCCGGAAATTTTGCCCTAAATGGAATATAGATAGAGAATAGAATAGGGAACAGACCGGGAACTAGTTACCTGGCTAGTTCTTTGGGGATAAAAAGCAAGTTCTAGCTCTAATACAGAGATATGCAAAGAGCACTCTTGGTTTTACACATACATAAACTCACACATGTTTAAAAATCCAACAAAACCAGTCAGAGAGCTATTTTCCTACTCTCTGCCCATGCCTTTTCTAACACTTTGTATTAGGAGCGGGGAGCTTAAACATTCTAGACCAACAAAAACCTAAATCTTTAACTATAAAGTCACTAATAACTCCTTAAACTTTAAGGTAACACTCCTCCTTACAATTTTATATTACTGCACTATGGCCTTATTACATAAAAATTCACATTTTCTAACTAAAAACCAACACACCCAAATTTTTAGCTTAAACCTAAACTTACAAGATGAATATTAATAAATTTATTATTTTAGCTATTTGTTTATTACAAAGAAGAAAACAATTTGTTAATAAAATTTTTCTACAATTTTTATTTTCAAGGTTCAAGAGTAAAATATAAAAAACAAACACTTGTTCAGTTAATTTGTTTTTTTTTTTTAGAGGAATGGAATGTATTTGTTTTATTAACAAATAAATACCTACATTTATACAAAAAAAAAAAAAACAATACGTCTATCATACCAAAACAAAACAATATTCAATTATTATTTTTTTATTTTTGTTGTCTGTAAAGTAAAATCATCATCATTTATACCGGGAGGGAATTTGTAAAAAATCATGCATGCAATTTGAAAAAAAAAATTTTTATTATTTAAACAATAATTTTTTTTGAGGTTGTAGTTAAAGATTTTTTTTTTTTTTTGTGTTCAAATTTTTCTGTAATGTTTTTTTTGTAACTTTATGAAATCGCATGTCGCACGTACTTGTGCAACAACTTGTTTAAAGTACACATGCAAACTGCTGTTTGAATGTTGTTGGTGTTGTTGTTGCTGGCACAGTGGTGAAGAAGAGAGCTAAAGATGTAAGACATACCCTTTTTTAACTGTAGACCAGACTATAGATTAGACTATAGATTAGACTATATATTAGACTATAGACTAGACTATAGATTAGACTATAGACTAGATCACAGACTAGACTACAGACTAAACTGTAGACTAGAGTACAAACTTGACTATACACTGGACAATAGACCAGTCTATTGACCAGACTATTGACTAGACTATAGATTAGACTATAGACTAGACTATGCACTAGACTATAGACTAGATTATAGACTAGACTATACAGTAGACTATAGGCTATACTATAGACTAGACAATAGGCTAGACTATAGACGAGACTATAGACTAAACTGTAGGCTAGATTAGACTAGACTATAGACGAAACTATAGACTGATCCATATACTAGACTAGGCTAGTGACTAACCTATAAACTAGACTACTGACTAGACTATAGAATAGACTATTGATTAGGCTATAGAGTAGACTATAGACTATACTATGAACTAGACTATATACCAGTCAATTGGCTAAACTATTGACTAGACTATAGACTATACAAAAGATTAGACTGTAAAGTAGAATATATACTAAACTATTGACTAGACTGTAGACTAGACTATGGACTAGACTATAGAGTAGACTGTAGACTATACTATATAATAGACTATAGACTAAATTATAGACTAGACTATACACTAGACTATGCACTTGACTATAGAGTAGAATATAGACTAAACTATAGACTAGACTATAGACTAGACTATAGACTAGACTATAGACTATACTTTAGACTAGACTATAGACTAAACTATTGACTAGACTATGGACTAGACTATAGACTAGACTATAGACTAGACTATAGAATAGACTATAGACTAGACTATAGAATAGACTATAGACTAGACTATAGACTAGACTATAGACTAGACTATAGACTAGACTATAGACTAGACTATAGACTAGACTATAGACTAGACTATAGACTAGACTATAGACTAGACTAGACTAGACTATAGACTAGACTATAGACTAGACTATAGACTAGACTATAGTCTAGACTATAGATTAGTCTATAGACTAGACTATAGACTAGTCTATAGACTAGACTATAGACTAGACTATAGACTAGACTATAGACTAGACTAAAGACTAGACTATAGACTAGACTATAGACTAGACTATGGACTAGACTATAGACTAGACTATAGACTAGACTATAGACTAGACTATGGACTAGACTATAGACTAGACTACAGAATATACTATAGACTGCACTAGACTAGACTATAGACTAGACTATAGACTAGACTATAGACTAGACTATAGACTAGACTATAAACTAGACTATAAACTAGACTATAGACTAAACTATAGAGTAAACTATAGACTAGACTATGGACTAGACTATAGACTAGATTATGGAATAGACTATTGACTAGACTATAGAATAGACTATAGACTAGACTACAGAATAAACTATAGACTGCACTATAGACTAGACTATAGACTAGACCAGCGGTTCCCACCGTTTTTTTCTTCGCGGACCCCTTGAGGAATTTATTTAATTTCACAGACCCCCATACATATTTTGATATCTTATTGTTATAAATAATTGTTCATCTGAAAACTGTCTTAGTCCTGGTCCATAAACCCTATAAAATATTCCCGTACATTGAGAATATTTAGTATTTCGGAGATGTTTTCAATTGCATGGTTTTAAATATAGAATGACTTCTAACATGATGTTTAATTTTATGATCTTAAGAGCTTTCATGTTCATTTCTCGTCAAGGCAGCGAAAAGGTTTCTTTATCAAGTATTGTCGACATGTGCTTAAAGAGTCATGTTTCTAAATTTTTTTGCGATTGCATAGGAGTGAGCTGAGTATGAAAGCTAAGTTTTCGGAAAAATATGTGAAAGTTAGACTTCTTCGATGTTGATGCGGAATGCGTTACCCACATAAAATATGACCTGAACTCTTTGCGAATGTACTGTGAATTTGGATCTTAAATTTGAATTTTAAAATACCTACGAATTATTTTACTGCGTGGTTTTGACTATTTACGCAAAACGCTATGAATTTTCTGATGTTGATTTAATAATATTGGACAACAAAATGAAGTTAAAATCTGTGTATCTCGTCGGAATGGAATATTTATATTTAAAATTAACTAGATTAACACTTTTGCTTACAATTTAAAAAAGTATTATGAAATGTGACCTAACTTCATATTCCGGGATACCAGTAACAGTATTTAATTCTAAGGCAAATCATTATCCGTCTGATATAAAAACATTTTTTTCGATACATATACATTTATAAAAATTACAAATCACGTAATACTTTACTTTATAAAAGTGAAACAATAAATTTGTAGGGCCTAGCTTCATCCTGATAAACGACCGAAACAATAAAATTCAAAAAGACACCAACAAATCTGGGATTATTGAATAAAAATTGTGTATTTTAGTACTTATGAAAAATTTGGAGATATTTTTAATATTTTCTAACATATAGAGAATATTTTTTATTCATGATTTTTTTCGTTCGTCTTCGCGGACCCCCTAGGATTTTGCTACGGACCACTAGGGGTCCGCGGACCCCCTTTTGGGAACCGTTGGACTAGACTATAGATTAGACTATATACTAGACTATTGACTAGACTATAGACTAGACTATACACTAGACTAGACTATAGAGTAGACTATAAACTAGATTATAGACTAGACTATAGACTAGAGTATAGATTAGACTATAGACTAGACTATAGATTGGACTATAGACTAGACTATAGATTAGACTATAGACTAGACTATAGACTTGACTATAGACTAGACTGTACACTAAACTATACTAGGCTATAGATTAGACTAGTCTGCAAACTCGACCATAGATTATAAACTTCCGTTATACGGCCTATTTCTGACAGTATTTCAATTTCTTTACATTGATGTAGGGTATCACATATAGTCGTTCTCCTTCCACTTTACTTTCTTGCTTAGTATATTATGCCCTTCTTAGAAGCCTAACTTGACCCACTGTCATTTTTATGAACATTGAGTGTTTTTGTTGTTGTTGTTGTTGTTTTCTTTCGTTGATTTTTAGTTCAACATTTAAAAACATTCCCATTAAACATTGAAGATGATCTGACTGAGGTAAGCTGCAGCAACAACTACAAACATTGCAACTAAAACAACAACAACAAAGAAATTATGTAAGAAAGTGAAATCCCCCTTTTATTTAAACAAATAAGAGGCATTTACTCTGTTTAAAGTTTTTGTTGTTGATGTTGGTAGGTAATACGAGCAGTAGTAATGTTAATGTTGCTGCTGCTGTTGTTTTTTTTTTATTATGCATAAAAACTACATAATTTGCATAATTTAAAAAAAGTAGTAAAACATAAATTTTTTTATAAAAAAAAACTTACTTTTTAGGGCTGTTATAAGAAAAAAATATTAATAAAATTTGTAATCCTTTTCTTTGTTGCTATGAATAAATAAAATTCTATAAATAATTGATTTTGTTATTAATTTTTGTTTTTAATTTAAATTTTTTCTATAAATTAAGCGTGTTTTTTTTTTGTTTTCTTTTAAAAATCTTCTGCTAAAACGTGTTTTTATTATTATTACATTTGTTATTGTTGTTGTTATTGTTTTAATAATATATTTTTTGTTATTATATAGTATTTTTGTTTTAATATTTTTTCACCGTCCGTTATTTTATTTAAAATATTTTAACGTTTTTAAGTACGAACTCCAACTGAAACTGAAATTTCTTGCTCTGGCTTCAAAAATATTCAACAAAAAAAAAAAAAACGCTATACACACTCATAGTAGATTAAACAACAAAAACAAACATCGTATATATAGAAACAAACACTAATACATATAGTTATACCTAATATATACAGGTGAGCACCTCGAAAAAAACTCTTATTCTCCAAACGTGGTAACGTCTGCTATAAAAAAACCCGATAACCAACCTTTATAAAGAGTCTTTTTTTGTTCCAAGTACTCAGATCTTAAAGTTTTCTCTCACAAAACTTGTTGAAGAATGCATTTTTCTTGCCCAGGTATGTTTGTTTGTATATACAATCACACACATACATATTTATGCATTATTTTCCTATATAAAAATGCTCTTATTCACATAATACTCATTATTATTGTTATTGTTGTTTCTTTTTTTTTCTACTGTCTGTGGTTTTCAATAGAAACCTTATTAAAACCCCTTTACCCAAACAAACAATAACAACAACTATAAGTAAAGCTCTCAAAACCAGTTCCCCCCTAAAAAAGCAATGAAATCTCTTAATCAAAACTATTTCGTTGTTACACCTCACGTACCTATGTACGTACGTCTGAATATCTGTTGTGAAAACCAAATCAAAACATTGATAAATCAAAACTCTCAATTTTTCTTATCGTTTACTCTCTTTTACAGTCCTCTTTTTTTGATCAAGATTTACTATATTGCCAATATAGCAACAAAATGTATAAGTAGGGAAGCATAGTTGGAAATAAGCGATACCCTACACTTGCTTAAGAGTTTTTTACAACAGATTTTCGGAATTGGTTTTTTTTTGGGTCAATTGTGGGCCGATGTTTATGGAATTTAGTGGCATGATTTAGAACCTTAAATCAATATCGATTTTTTACCTTATTGATCGATATGAGCTTTGTGCGATTATGGACCTATTAAGATTTTGATCTTTCCGGAAGTTTCCGACCGTTGTGGACGCCTAGTTGAGGTCTCTACAACCAACACGATTAAAAAAAATTTCCAAAAAGTGTTTGTTGAGTTATTACGGAAGTCATGGACATCATGGATACAAGACAACAGAGACTAAACAGCATTCAAAATAAGGGTTTCTTAAATTGATCTGGCATGTATTCGGAATAATTTCCATGCACTACTTTCAACACGGAAAATCAATCATTGGCTAATATCAACTTATCGAGCCAATTTGATGAGGTATTGAGAAAAAAATCGCCACTTTTGACAAAGAAGAAAACTTAAAATCCTTGTAATCTCTGACCTAATATGAAATCTCAAATCGCAGGGATAGCACAACTGCTTCGGCAACATCACCATGAGACGTATTTGATAGGCGAAAGTACAATCCATTTATGTCCATTAATAAGTCTAGATACTACTTCTTGACACACAGAGCACTCATTGCAGTGGATCAGGCGTGAACAGAGTAAACTACGAAAAATAACTGGATAGAAATTCAAATTCATCAGTATTGAACCTATCAAACAGACCTCTCATCTACATCGTTGAGATGGTCCCAGTTGTTTTCACAACAGTACCCAGAGAAGTATTTGATAGGCCAAAGTACGATCTATTTATGTCCATTAATAAGAATAGACGATGATCGTTACACACAGAGGACTCAGTGCTGTTGGTCAGGAGTAAACCTTGAGAAGATAATGTTATCGATTATATAAGGACAGAAGTACTATAAATCAATTACCATACAACCCATCAAACAGCTCATTCAATTTCCACCCTTAATTTACTCTGCATCTAGTTCTCTTGATGTTAAATCATTCTTCATATATCCTCAGTGGGTTCCTGTTGAGTCACCGTACAACGGTCTTTAAACCGAAATTCTCTTCTCCACCGGAATGACAATGTTCTGCGAAGCTGGTAGCATATAGGTCGGGTTCTCTGATCATACAGCTACTCAAAAAACCAAAATTCTCTTTTCCACGTGCAACAACACAAAGTCCACGTTCTTACGACAATTGGTTCTTTGCACCGGTATGACAAAGGTCATGACAAAGTTCTGCGAAGCTGGTAGCATATAGGACGGGTTCTCTGATCATACAGCTACTCAAAAAAAAAGAAATTCTTTTCTACACGTGCAACTACACAAAGTCCACGTTCTTACGACAATCGGTTATTCGCACCGGAACAACAAAGGCCAAGACAATGTTCTGCGAAGCTGGTAGCATGTAGGTCGGGTTCTCTGATCATACAGCTACTCAAAAAACCGAAATTCTCTTCTCCACGTGCAACTACACAAAGTCCACGTTCTCACGACAATTGGTTCTTCGCACCGGAATGACAAAGTCGAAGATAATGCCCTGCGAACCTGGTTCCATATAGATTAGGTTTTCTGGTCATACAGCGAGTCAAATTACTGCTCCAGTTTACAGTTCTTTGGGTACTGCAGGTACTGCCAGCGTTTTCATATGTAATTACCGATTACAATGACCCTAAGATGAGGGCGATTTACCTAGGCAACGTGTTCCGAAGGCCTTTTATTAATCAGCTAGGTTGTTGCTAAGGTTTGTTTGGTATTGAAAATTGGCAATATCGGTCCACGATTTCACATAGTCTTGGAGCAAATGTCCCTTAGTTTTGAGTCATAGCTTGTAACATGTATTTAATAAAAATCTTACAAAAATGTATACCCAGCAGTTCTGGGGGTTAGTTTGGTCCCGAACTGGCTGTTTATCCTACCACCTAGGGTTAGCGCTAGTCCACTGGATAACCAGGGTTCTTGCCCATAGAGGAAATCAGTTGCCTCTCCAAAGATTACAAAGAGTCAGTCAGAAAACTAATACACAGGAGTCAATACTTGGCAGTGTCTACCTAATAGATTACTTGGGGACAGTAAAGTGAAAAGTTTCTACGCTCTCGCTTGCAAACGGGACGACTGTTTTCACTCTCGTTTACAAAGAGTACATTCGTGACAAAAAGACGAATTAGAGCCAACCAGGTGGTTAGACGTTAATGAAAATTATTGTCATATTCGGCTGCATTGACTCTTAAACGATCTGCTGGGTAATTTTGATCTCCCTCTCAATAAACACATTTTATATTCTTAAATCAAAACATAACAGAAAACTGTAAAGATTTGATCTCTTATTTGTTTGATATAAACAATGTAATAAAAGCAAATCAATAAAACTCTTTTTTAAGCGAACCATTTTTTTATAATCAAAAGAGAATTTCACTCATTTTACGCATTTCACCTTCTTTTTCCACCATTATTCTTTACTCTTTCTTTTTTCTGCTCAATGTTCAAATATTGATGATATGTCTATGATGATGTATCAATACAATATTTTGTTGTTATTCAATTGATAAGCTTTTTTCGGTATGTTGTTTTTTCTACTGTAATTGTTGTTATTTATCTGTTTTTCTATAAAAAAAAGCTTCCATTTATTTTGTTTTTCTTTCTTTTTTTCATTCCTAGTAACATTATTACGTTATTTATTTATTTGGTGTGTTGAGTTACTATTTTTTTATCATTTTTTATTAATGAAAATTTATTTGTGGTTGTTCAGAGTTATTTACGCCAAACAAATGAAAAAAACGAAGAAAAAAGCTTTTAAAAAAATCACAATTGTGAGAGAATTCCATTGTTTATGGTATTTTATCTTAAAAACTTATTACACCTGCTGGTTGCAGTACGCGGTGGCATAGTTTGGTCTTTAACATTTCTCATGTAATAATTTTGTGTATTTTTTTCTTGAACTATTTTTTTTTTGTATCAGTTCAAACAAAAATATCAAACTCTGGAATTTTAAATATTTATTTATTATTAATGTTTAAAAATGTGTTAAAACTACCGACATTGTGTGAAATGTTTTGATAAAATTTTTGTGTTGGAGTTGGAGTAAAAAAAATGTAAATTAATTGATGTGAAACTAACGTTTGAGAAGAAAATATATTCGTTTTCTTTAAAAGAAAATAATTGATAAAATTTCTTTAATAGAAAATTTTTTATAAAATTTTCATTTAAGAACAAATTTTTCAAAAAAAAATTTTTAATAGAAAATTTTTCATAATTTTTTTTTTAATAGAAAATTTTTCATAAATTTTTTTTAATCGAAAATTTTTCAAAAATTTTCTTCAATAGAAAATTTTTCATAAATTTTCTTTAATAGAAAATTTTCAAAAAATTTCCTTAAATAGAAAATTTTTCATAAATTTTCTTTAATAGAAAATTTTGCAAAAATTTCCTTAAATAGAAAATTTTTCATAAATTTCCTTTAATAGAAAATTTTTCATAAATTTTCTTTTCTATAGAATCTTTTTAGAGAAAATTTTTGAATAAATTTTTTTATATAGAATTTTCGGTAAAATTTTATTAGTCATTATGGAAAATTTTCTATAAAGACTATAGTCTAGACTATAGACTATATATTAGACTATAGACTAGACTATAGATTAGACTATAGACTAGACTATAGACTAGACTATAGACTAGACTATAGACTAGACTATAGACTAGACTATAGACTAGACTATAGACTAGACTATAGACTAGACTATAGACTAGACTATAGACTAGACTATAGACTAGACTATAGACTAGACTATAGACTAGCCTATAGACTAGACTATAGACTAGACTATAGACTAGACTATAGACTAGACTATAGACTAGACTATAGACTAGACTATAGACTAGACTATAGACTAGACTATAGACTAGACTATAGACTAGACTATAGACTAGACTATAGACTAGACTATAGACTAGACTATAGACTAGAATATAGACTAGACTATAGACTAAACTATAGACTAAACTATAGACTAAACTATAGACTAAACTATAGACTAGACTATAGACTAGACTATAGACTAGACTATAGACTAGACTATAGACTAGACTATAGACTAGACTATAGACTAGACTATAGACTAGACTATAGACTAGACTATAGACTAGACTATAGACTAGACTATAGACTAGACTATAGACTAGACTATAGACTAGACTATAGACTAGACTATAGACTA